CAAAAGTAGCAGTTGGGACTTGAAATTTTACAACAGCAATAAATAGAAATCAATAATGATGCTTGATTGAGCTCTTTTTGTGGCAAGATACTGCAATAAGACTACAGCTGTAGGTGTAGCTATTAATAAACTTGTAGAGTATTTTCAATTTTAGTAACCATGGCAACATCATTCATGGAAATCTAAAATTGATAAATGGAATGATGTATCTTAGTGTAGTCTACTTGCGTGCCAAGTTATATTAAATTCAGACCAAAACTGTAGGAAAAAGAGCATTTTGAAAAATTGTTTACAGACAGACAGACGGACAGACGGCCGGACACTGGACACATTACTATCACATAATCTCTTTAGGTCTCCAACCAGTAGAGCTAAAAATCATGCTATATCTTACCACTTTGGCCAATGTTGGTCTGTTTTTCTAGTGGATACCCAGTATCTTGGCAACGGCCTCCTCATCCTTGTCTGGTCCTCTTTTTCTTTGTTTGGTGGTCCTCTTCTCCCTCGTGTGGTCTTCTTCTCCCTCGTGTGGTCCTCTTCTCCTTCTCCCTCGTGTGATCTTCTTCTCCCTTGTGTGGTCTTCTTCTCCCTCGTGTGGTCCTCTTCTCCCTCGTGTGGTCTTCTTCTTCCTTGTGTGTTGTCCTCTTCTTCCTTGTGTGTGGTACTCCTCTTCTCTGTGTGGTCCTTTCCTTTTGTGTGGTCCTCCATATGCAACTTGTTTCGAACAACTTTGATCAGTGTTGGCTTGTCGACATAGTGGAAACCCTGTCTCACGGTTATAACCTCATTGTCATTGTGTTGGTGTCTGTAATTTGGTATCTATCTTTACCTGCATCTGAAAGTTTAGACACAGTTTATTTTAGCTCTTAAAATTGGTACTTTGGTTGATTAGATACTAAGATTTCAGATTTCTTAGTTTACAAGAATTGAGATAAGTAGAAGAAATGGAATTAGTAATTTGTACCTTACCCTCCATTCAGTGGTTGGCTAAATTCAGTAAATCACAACTCCCTTGACTCTTTTTTTATGTAGTATTGTTGAATTGCATTCTTTGTATTGGGATTGGGGCTGAATACAATTCTGGTAACACACAGAATAAAAGAGTCAAATAAGTACTAGTACCAGTCTTGAATAAAGTGAAAAAAGAATATCAAAATAGCAAAACTCTGCTGTCTTTTTCTTACCACTTTGTTGGCCTGTTGGTCTAGTGGATACCCTGTATTCTGGCAATGATTCCTCTCACTTGTATAAGGTCCTCTTCTTCACCATGTGATCCTCCTCTTCTTAAGCATGTGATCTGCTTCTAAAGCATGTGGTCCTCTTTTTCGTCTTAGTGTGGTCACCTTCTTCTTCTTTGGCTTGTCGACATAGTGGAAACCCAGTCCCTTGGTTATGGCCTCATAGTGTTGATGTCTGTAATTTGGCTTCTATCCATACCTGCATCAAAAGTTTAGACACAGTTTACTTAAGCTCTTGATACTTTTGTTGATTGAGTACCAAGTTTCCAGATCAAAGAGAATTTAGTTTACAAGAGTTAAAATAAGCAGACGAAATGGAATCAGTTATTTGTGCATTACCCTCTATTCAGTTATCCTGTTTACATACATAGTTAAATAAGTTCTAATACTAATATCAGTCTTATATAAAGTTAAAACAGAAAATTAGAATCTAAATTGCGAAAAAAAAATGCTGTCTATTTCTTACCACTTAGGCCAAAGTTGGCCTGTTGTTATAGTGGATACCCTGTATCCTGGCATTGGTCTCCTCAATGTGGTATCTGTTGCCCTCTGTCCATCCCTAGTGCCCTTGATAATGGTAGAAACTGACACAAGATTAGTACAGTTCCAATAAATTGAAAAGGTACCTTTTGATACATCATTTTCACACAAAAACATGTAACAATTTAAACATTGGGAAAGGCACAAACAATCATAAATGAAAAGGGCAAAAAAGGTGAGTTCTGTTAGTAATGTAAGTAAGAAAGGGAAGGGGAGAGAACAGCAAACAAAACAACTTGCAAAAGAACAAATGCAGCTCACCTTATGTCTGGCTTAATTAGAAGATCAAATAACAACCTTATCTTGGGCTCCCTGTGTATCATTTGCTACATTCTGTCTAAATTACATCTGCAAAATGTTTAATTTACTAAATAAATCTAATTTTCAACATATATTTCATTGTCTTAATATATGTAAAACCCACAGCAAATGAAAGATCTTTTTATACATACATCATCTTATGTGGAGAGTTTATATAAGCTATGTCTGCTGCCTTATCCATTTATATAATTTTTTAAGGAATAAGTCTAATTTTTTTGGTTACATGATGTGACCAATCGAGTGACCCGCATGATAATTTCCATAAATGCTGAGCAACTTTGATATTATTCTGAAAGTATCTTAGTTTGAACAATATCAGTAGGAAAAGTACCAGATCACTTTACACATATTAAAAAAAGATATATATATTACTAAAAGAGGAGCAGTTTTGCCTTAGTTACCTGTAGGATTAGCTTCAGTCAATATTGTCTCTGTTGTATCTTAGGATTTATATTGTCTCTGTTGTATCTTCAGTTGGTACAGTCTCTGCTTAATCATACTGGATACTGACTCTGCTTTGTCTTAGGTGGTACTGTCTTTGCTTTATCTTAGGATGGATACTGACTCTGCTTTATCTTAAGGTGGTGCTGTCTTTGCTTAATCTTAGGAAGGATACTGTCTCTACTTTATCTTCAGGTGGTATTGTCTTTGCTTAATCTTATGATGGATACTGACCCTGCTTTATCTTAGGTTGTACTGTCTTTGCTTGATCTTAGGATGAATACTGTCTCTGGTTTATCTTAAGGTGGTACTGCCTTTGCTTAATCTTAGGAAGGATGCTGACTTTTCTTTATCTTTAGGTGGTGCTGTCTTTGCTTAATCTTAGGAAGGATACTGAGTTTTCTTTATCTTAAGGTGGTGCTGCCTTTGCTTAATCTTAGGATGGATACTTGCTTTATCTTAAGGTGGGGCTGCCTTTGCTTAATCTTAGGATGAATACTGTCTCTGCTTTATCTTCAGGTGGTACTGTCTTTGCTTAATCTTATGATGGATACTGACTCTACTTTATCTTAAGGTGGTACTGTCTTTGCTTAATCTTAGGAAGGATGCTGACTTTTCTTTATCTTAAGGTGGTGCTGTCTTTGCTTAACCTTAGGAAGGATACTGAGTTTTCTTTATTTTAAGGTGGTGCTGCCTTTGCTTAATCTTAGGATGGATACCGACTCTGCTTTATCTTAGGTGGTACTGACTTTTCTTTATCTTAGGTGGTGCTGTCTTTGCTTTATCTTAGGATGGATACTGACTCTGCTTTATCTTAAGTTGGTACTGTCTTTGCTTAAACGTACTGGATACCGACTCTGCCTTGTTTTAGGTGGTACTGTCTTTGCTTTATCTTAGGATGGATACTGACTCTGCTTTATCTTAAGTGGTACTGTCTTTCCTTAATCTTATGTGGTCCTGTCTCTGCTTAATCTTATGATTGATACTGACCCTGCTTTATCTTAGGTTGTACTGTCTTTGCTTGATCTTAGAATGAATACTGTTTCTGCTTTATCTTAAGGTGGCACTGTCTTTGCTTAATCTTAGGAAGGATACTGACTTTTCTCTACCTTAAGGTGGTGCTGTCTTTGCTTAATCTTAGGAAGGATACTGAGTTTTCTTTATCTTAAGGTGGTGTTGCCTTTGCTTAATCTTAGGATGGATACTTGCTTTATCTTAAGGTGGGGCTGCCTTTTCTTAATCTTAGGATGAATACTGTCTCTGCTTTATCTTCAGGTGGTACTGTCTTTGCTTAATCTTATGATGGATACTGACTCTACTTTATCTTAAGGTGGTACTGTCTTTGCTTAATCTTAGGATGAATACTGTCTCTGCTTTATCTTAGGGTGGTGCTGCCTTTGCGTAATCTTAGGATGGATACTGACTCTGCTTTTTCTAAAGGTGATGCTGCCTTTGCTTAATCTTAAGATGGTACTGTCTATACTTTATCTTTGCATGGGTACTGTCTATGCTTGCTTCTGCAACAAAGTCAAGATTATAAGAGGGTCATATCTGCATCAAGTATATGTTATTAAAGTATATATTTGGAGTTTGTATGATAACTTACCCTTTCTCCTATGGTTAGCTGCAGATGTTCCAATGCTTCCTTGAATCAGTGACAAGTAATTGAGTCTTTTTGGTAGGATCAAGGCTTGACAAATCATTTATCTGTTTAAAAAAAAATTCCAGGAGTCAAAAAGAGTTACATATTTGTGTCAAAAGAGATCTAAAATGCAGCAATTGGAGCCTGTTTCTTACCATTTTGGCCAATACTGGCCTGTTGTTATGGTGGATACCCTGTATCCTGGCAATGGTCTCCTCCTGGGTGTGTTGCTGGCTGCCATCTGTCCATCTCCCTCCTCTGTGACCCTGACAATGAAAGAAACTGACATAAGATTAGTACAGTTCTAAAGCATTGAAAGAAAAAGGACAAAAAGATTATACCTATTTAAGGCTGCTTGTCAAAGGTGTCATGTTCTGCTGCTTCAGACGGGTATTCTGTTAAATGAAAATCAAGAAGTTAAAGTGGGACTCATTCTAAATCATTTTGAAAACAATATAAAACAATTGAATTAATGTAAACACCAGGCTCATAAAATCATACAACCCCTCTATATTCTGTACAATGGCAAATTCTTTTTTTTCTCCATGGAAATCCCAAAATATTTGAACAAAAACAAAAAAGTCTTCCAAATAATCTTTATAATAATGATTCTGTGGAAGTCTCAAATTTTATTCAATGGTTGAAGGTTCAAGTGTGAATAAGATTTGGGTACTCCCAATATTAAAAAGAAAGAAAGACAAACAGACAACCCTGTACTTGATCTCACTTTTCAAACAGTAGGTATAATAAAGAGTTTGTGTTAGAAGGAAAGAAGCTTACCACATCTTTCAAGGTAGAACTCAGTTTATGGGGTCTCTTCTTCACTGCAGGTCTAGGAATCCATCTTCTCTCCCCTACTAAGACAGAACAATAAATGCTTATCAGTGGCAGATTTAAGAAGGGGCGCACCCGGCATGCCCCCCCCCCCAAAAAATTGTCAAAGTTACCATAAATCACTGTTTCGTCTAGAAAATGTAAATATGCATGTCTACTTGGTAGACCTCATTTTTAGCCTACAAAATCTCTAGAACCCAGGAGCTTCTGGGGTCTTTGCCCCCTGGGCCCCCACAAGGGTCCACTGGGGGCCTCAAGGCAGCCCCATGCCTACTTTTGCCGCCCCCTCTAACTTCAATTCCTGGATCTGTGCCTGCTTATATTACTCAAATTTTGTCTTATAAACACAATGTGCAAGAAATTGGGGGAGAAAAAAACAAGAAGTAAATAATGTATATTACCCAAACATATGAATAGTTGTCACTGTGGATCTTTCTGGTCTGGACTCTTCTTATGACTAATCGGCCAGTGTTAAACTGGTGATGGTGGACACTCTAATGCTCTGCTTCTATAAGATTGGATGCTGCTTCTGTAAGGTTGGCTACTGCTTGTCTCTGCTTCTGTTCAATTGGCTTCTGCTTCTGTAAGGTAAATACTGCTTGTCCCTGCTTCTATAAGATTGGCCACTGCTTGTCCCTGCCACTGTAAAATTAAAAACTGCTTGTCCCTGCAACAGTAAAAATGGGTGCTGCTTGTCCCTGCTTCTGTAAGATTGGCTACTGCTTCTGAAAAGGTAATACTGCTTGTCCTGCATCTGTAGGGTTGGCTACAGCTTGTCCATGCTTCTATAAGATGGGCTTCTGCTTCTGTAAGATTAATTACTGCTTGACCCTACAACTGTAAGATTAATTACTGCTTCACGTCCCTACAACTGTAAGATTAATTACTGCTTCATGTCCCTACAACTGTAAGATTAATTACTGCTTCACGTCCCTACAACTGTAAGATTAATTACTGCTTCACGTCCCTACAACTGTAAGATTAATTACTGCTTCATATCACTGCAACTGTAAAAAATTAATTACTGCTTCATGTCCCTGAAACTGTAAGATTAATTATACTGCTTGTCCCTGAAACTGTAAGATTATATATAATTACTGCTTCACGCCCCTGCAACTGTAAGATTAATAATTACTGCTTCACGTCACTGCAACTGTAAGATTAATTACTGCTTCACGTCCCTGAAACTGTAAGATTAATTACTGCTTAACATCCCTGCAACTGTAAAAGATTAATTACTGCTTCACATCCCTTCTTCTGTATGATTAAATACTGCTTGTCCCTGCATCTGTAAGATTAAATAAAACTTGTCTCTGCTTCTCTGAAGTAAATGAGTGTCTACAGCTTATCCATGCATCTGCGAGATTGGTCACCGCTAGTCCCTGCATCTGAAAAAATTAAATACTGCCTGTCCCTCTATCTGAAAGAATAAATAAATACAGATATATAAATACAATATATACAATCAAACCTCTTTATCTCGAACTTAAAGGGGCCTTAAAGAAAAATACTTAAATGATAGGGGATTCAATAGGACAAATCACTGAAAAGTATCAAAGATCTTTTTGAGACATCAATGTTCGAGATATCGAAGTTCAACTGTTTATTCATAACTTTTTTTGGTTTTTTGGTTTTTTGTAGTTTTTTTGGTTTTTTGTAGTTTTTTTTTTCATGCATGTATGAGATAAACCCAACACCATGATGTTGTATATACAACTAAACATCAATGAGTTGTTGTCCATCTCAAAGGGCCTCGCTCTACCTAAAGGACATCTGGATGAGAGGGCTTTGTAAAGGACCTTGACATATGACCTTCAATCCACTGGTACTCTGGAGGACATATGAGATGAAGCTCAAGGGAACACGAAATAATGATCTTGACAATGAATCACATAGATATCATCTATGACCTTGAAATCTTACCAAAACCTTGGTTTAAAGCTAAACTACACCACTGAACGAAGTGGAATTCTATAGGTTACTGAGTAAATATATGCTGAATAGAGCTAAGAGTTGGTATAATAAAGAACCCGAACCTCCTGTAATTGTATAAAAATCATATCCGACTATAAACCCTGGAAGATTTTACTATGAAAACAGAAATGTTATTCACCACTGACCTTTGGTTCAAGGACTCTAGAAAGGGGAGATAAATATGCTCACTATGATAAGATGACAAGACCTCGACTTCTGACCTAGAAGCTGTATATAGACACTATATATGGGTGAAGTATAAGCCAGAAAGGGCTAAAATGAGAGAAAATATGCACCCTTAGTTCAAAAACTCTGCAAAGGGGAAATATATGTTCACTACGATAAAGATGACATGACCTTGACTTCTGACCTACAAGCTGTTCATTACTGCACATCCTAAAGGGCTAAAATGAGAGAAAATATGCTCCAAATAATAATATAACACGCAGATGTGCTTTCTACATTGACCTTTTGAAAACTGGATTGCAGGTTATTGCAGTATAAACCTGATTGGGCTAAGAGAAGAAAATACATACTGGGTCTACAGTGTCAGACAGACGGACAAACTGATCATTAATAAAAGCGGGCCCCAAATATTGAAAACAAAACCACTCACTTTACATCTACGTCTGGACAGAGCTGCTGAGGCGAGGCGAGGGTGGTGGACGGAAAAAACGTGTGTGCAGATGGGACATTCAAAAATTAATTTAACAATATTGAAAACAATAAACATTGAAATTCAGAAACTTGACAAAATACATGCAAAAAAAATTCATTTGTCAGAAATGACATAAACCAAAAATTGTAGAACACAGCTACATATATGCTATACCCAGAAATTCAAATACTGTATAAAGAAAAGCACCTACATGTAAATCATATCTTTCTCCTGATCACACCTAAATAGTAGACTGTATGGTTATCAGGAGACTGTGCCAGAAATAGGCAATAGAAGCTAGTGTAAAATGTAGGTCGGTAGAGCATCAGAGTCAGCATCCTAAGATACACGCTAAAGAACAAGATCAGTTTGGAACTGATCTAAATAATAAAAATAATCTGAGCTCTGAGCCAGTTAAGAAAGAAATGTAGATCAAATGCAGCTTCCAAAGTAAGCATCAGCGTCTGAGCATGTCCAATGACACATGATAAAGAACTAGATCAGTTTGAAACTAATCTAAATGAAAATACTCCGGGCTAATAAATCAAGACATGCAAGTGAGATGCAGCATCAGAGGAAACATCAAGTACAAATTTGGTTTGATTTCTGCTTGTGAGAAGCAGAGCTGATACATTCAAATGTTCAGTTCAGTAACCAATATGCCACTAAAGCATGAAATTACAATATATATGCATCAGCAAAGGCACGCATCAAATGAACGATTTATATGCATGGTTTCAGACCGAGACAGACAAACAGACAGACATAGTGATAATAATGTTACACATCAATACACAAGTGTTGAACAATATGGAAACTTTCAAAATTGATCATCACTCATAATCAGTAGCTTTAAATTGATGAAGGATGATAGCCAGCGGAATGCCACGAGGAAATTGAAGGTACACGGTCTGCGTCCATTTCAGTTTGGGAAAATGGAGAAAAAAAAATGTGTCCAGAAATTATCATAATACGCAAAGCACTCTTAATTTCATTTTTCTCAGCGATGCATGGATTCATAAAACTCCTAATCAAAGATTCATCGGTAACGGTAACTATATAAACCACGGTTAACCAATTATCAGTGACAATCTTTACATAAATAATCATAATGTGATACATTGAATATACCAACAAAAAAGTAACAAATAGTGAAATCTCAGACAAAGAACCTATAATTACAGATCAGTGAATAAATTAAGGGTCGGTGAAAACAAATATTGCTGTATTAGACTTTATTTACAGAAAGAATTAAGCCTTTTTAATTTTACAAAAATTAACCTAGGAATTTGAGCTAACTCCAATTATAAATAACAGAAACTGGATGGAAAACTGAAACCCACGGGATCACGATTATCCATGTAACTGATGATTAATAAATACTAAAGATTACTTAAATTCTGAAAAATAAATAAAGCGAAATAATCTCAGTTAACCATTAATTAAGCTTCAAATTATAAGAGAACTCGAGCATCCTTGGGGATGAGAAAGGGATAAGTACAAGTTTAAATAAATTATATATGGGGTATACAAACAAAACAAGAATAGATTTACAAATTAATTTATAATGTATACAAATAAAAAAAAAAATACTTTAACATTGCATGATTACAGACATAGAAACAGAGACATCTCAAGGTCATAACCCCAGGTCACAGGTAAATGAATAAAAGGGAAATTAATGGAAATTATACTAACAAAAGTACTAGTCTAAATAAACAGTTAAATGTCCAACTCACCCCAACCACTCCCCATTTGTTATATTGTAAATTCCTAACTTTAAGCAAGTACAAAATATCGTGAAATGGCATTTAGATGGCAAATCGTGAGAACAATAATTCGCGAGTGGGCGATTTTTTCAGGAAATTATACATATAATTTAATTACCACCATAAAAATGAAAACGGTAACTTTATTTCACAAGTGGCACTTCTCGCAAAATTACGCAATAACTAATTCCTCACGTATATTTAGGAAACTACAGTAATGAATATATTGAGAAAACAATTAGTCTAGAAATTATATTTACAAATAATTAATTATAACAAATTAAAATAATCTCATGAATGCAGTGGCTAAATAACGGTGTGTGCATGAGTTAATTTTTCACCAGCCTTCATGAGAAAATCGTGTGCAAAAAAAGGGGGCCTAATTCTATCTTAATTATTATTCATTAATTAGGTATTTTAATATTTTATAAAGAAATAAGAGAGGGAATCTAATCAGAATACCTCATGTATTTAACAAATATGAAATCGCTATCTTAATTATATTCAAAATATGCAAAATTTTATTTAAAATATGCAAAATTATATTTAAAATATGCAAAACAGTGACAAAAAAACTCTCACAAAACACATTAATTTAATGAAAAAAATGTATATATTTACTTAAAAATGACGAATAAAAAGAGATCTCAGATACGATCTTTATAAATTTATTATTAAAATATTAAAGGGAAAATTAAATTATATAATAGTTAATTTGAGATGCAAAACTAAAAAATACCTGTATATATAAAAAATACAATAACATTAAATCTATTTAAATACAAATACTAAATTTTCTAATCCTATTTATCAAGAAATACATGCAATACAAAATATTATATTGAAAAGTAATTTTATTAAGGACTCAAAAAGATGGAACCCTACTATAAATTAGTTCACCCCTATATTTTAGAATTACCCAAAAATTGTTAAGATGAAATATATCGCATAATGAATCATCACAATCAGGAAAAAAATTAAATAGAACTTTTAAGCTGAAGGAAGAGACAATGCCAGATCTAAATCCTATTTAACAACTAAATACACTACTGTATTAAATCTTACTTATCAACTAATACAATACCTTTCTATGTTAAATCCTATTTAACAACTAAATACACTACTACTTTAAATCTTATTTATCAACTAAAGCAATACACTACTATATTAAATCATATTTATCAACTCAGTCCATACATTATTACTCTTTTATTTTCTATTTATCAACTGAAAATGAGTGATAACAGACAAACGGACGGACAGACCAAAACCAATATTCGCTCTTTCAGTAGGGTACAAAAAGTGATCCAGAATATAACTATATATTGTAAACATGGTTTACAATGAACAGGGCCTATATTACATATACATAAAATGAATGCACAGTATACAAAACAAATAAGTTACAAAAAATTACAAAAATACTAGAACCCATCATGCACACACGGGAAGTAATGGAAATGGAAAAAAATAACACTCTGTTTAAAGAAAACCTTCTTGGTAGGATTTTAATTATTTTAATTTCTCTTTTAAGATAACTTGAATATAACTTAAATATTTTTACCATGTTAAAATTTGAATTTAATGGAAAATAAATTTAATCCTATTTATAAATGCTACAATTAAGAGGAAACACTGATAAAGAAATGAATGTGAGCTTTAATGATAAACTACTATAAT